CACCGCCACAAGAACAAGCGGCCGCGGCTGAATACAACCAGGCCGACCAATCCTGAAGGCCCTTCACCATACCAGGCACAGACTAGGCATCCTACATCGATGGGTCATCAGGGCAAACGACCCCGACCCGCCAATCTCGACGACACCCATCCCCATATGATTCTCGACGAGGGATCACCACGATCCATTTCAAGCCCGCTCCAATACATAAGCTTGGTACCGCGGAACCCTCCGTCATCTTCGGGTGATCTCGTGGCTCCTGGGTCAACGGGCGAATACGGCACTGGTACGATGAACGTCCGTCAGACCAACGCGCTTGCAGCTTCCCCGCACGACCAAGTCAAGCGGCCACGCGTTCGTTCTGCTGAAAGCACCAATACGGGAAAAAAAAACCCGGCGGCGGCTGGGTTGGAAGAAATACACCAGAGTAGCGATGTGGCGAATACAATGAAATACGGCCAGGAAAGCTCGCCGCCATCCATCATCAGCCCCATTGGGTACCACAGTCGGCTGCAGAGCACGCCTCTGTCGGATATGGGCGCTCAAGAGCCATATAGCACACGAAGCCATCCTCAACGAATCCAAAGTCCAGAGAATGCAGCAGAAACCCAGACATCCGAGCCCAGCAACCGGGCTCAAGCCTCAGCAAAGGGTTCGAGCAAGAAAACTAATGGTTCGGGGTCGTCCAAGCGAAGTCCACTAATTTTGCCGCGTTCTATGGTTGACGACAATGAAGCACAGGATGAAGACGACGACATCCAGCACCAGCTGTTGGAGGGTTTTGAAACTGTGCCATTAACCCCGAGTCGGATGGAAGAATCATTGGATAGCGTGGATTTCAACGGGCAGACAGCTTCCGTCTTCGTTCATTCGATCAACAATAGCCCACGCACACCGTAGAAATGAAATTTCCAGACACAACTCTGAACATGACGTCACGCTCGCCCTCAGGCGCAAAATACGTGCGAAGAGCCAGCGTAAAGACACGAAAATTCTTGACGCAGCCATCTTTAGAGCTTTGCTATGGATAGCAATCAGCCAAGTGCTGTCCAACCTTCGCTGGCCTTGCAAGCACGTGCCTATCAATAGGATACCTTTCTCAAGTGAGAATAGCGTGGTCTCGCAATGATCTGTCCAGAGCTCGTCGAGCTTTGAGCTTGGGTAGAGCCACGGCGAGAAGACTGGCCTTTTGGGCACATGAAAGCCCTTGTTGCGTTTGTATAGGCAACGGCAGTGATGTAGGAGCAAGGATCAAACTTGGAATGGACGGACGGCGGGGGTTGAATGTGGGTGCTGCGTTCGTACTTCGCTATATGCACTTTAACATCAATTTTCATATGGAAGCAGGCTTTCTACTTCGATTGATTAATTAAAGTTCGTTTGGAATAGGTATGTTTGGAATTGATATACCATGTCTGCGGCAAAGTCGCCATCGTTGCATCTTCTTGTTACTACTTGTGTCCACTTCAACGCGTGGAGAGAACAACCTAATACTTACTCACCAGTGTTAGGTCAAGCAAGGCCGTACTAAGAGAGCGCACTGGAGCGTAGAAAGACTTGATATCAGTATTCATACTCACTCAGGGGAGCGGCTGAACAGGCCCTTGGCACGCCACTTTGTACGATGCCGACGGACTCTGGCACTCAGACGTAAGGCAACAAAAACAAGATCTGTACTAAGCTATACATTCTAGCCGAATATAGGAGGAATATGACAGCGACGCTGGACGGTGGCGTCCTAGTTTCGTCTTCCGTGTGAAAGGGCCTCAACTTTTCATGACCCGCTTCCCAGGGCAGCGCACGGATATTATCGAAGTCCATGAGTGCGTCATGAGTTGGAGACCATACATAGAGGGAAAAAAAGACACATGTGCAACATTACGTTGATCTGATCACGACTACGTGCTGCCGCTGTGCCAGAAGTTCAAATCCATTGGTCTATCTAATTGCGAACTGATGCAGTGGTTCAAGCTTGCCAAGCTCTGATGGCGATGCCGACGAAAAAATGAAAGGCCACTGCAGAGAATGGCGAGTTCATTCTGTTTGTTTCTCTCCTTAACTAAAAGCTCTTGTATTCTTTGATTCCTTCAATCGGCGGCGGGCATAGAAGCTGTACTCAGGATCACCCATTCGCGCCGGCACCTTCAATCTGTATGGGCCTTCATCTATCTTTGTGTTGGTTCGAAGACACTCCTGTAACCAGTCGTAACTGACTATGTGGACACCTTTCCAATTTTTGCGGGAAATGTACCTCGTGAAGCCTTCTTCATCTGAAAGTTCGCTCTGCGAAGTCACCAGATGCGTGAGCAAAGGGTCTTCGAGGTCATGGATATATTGGCCGTGAAGGTCTTCTATCTGACGTCTGATCCAACTGAAATCACTCCAAACCGATTTCAGTGGATAATTTCTGGTGAATGAGATAGAGCATGCGATCAAAGCGCGAGCGCGGCCCATGGTTGGATGTAGTTGAAGTTGGGATTTGGTACTGTACGCTTTCTCGAAGAACGACGAGCCACGACCGGTGAAAGAGCCAATGCAGCCGTCACTTTATACTTTGTGTGGGAATAAATCCCCAAATGGAATTGGTTTTTCAAGTCGCGAATGGCAACTGTGTTCTTTCTCCGTTCTGGTTTTGGGCGTGCCTGGTGAACCTGGCCAGAATAGCCCCTTGGCAGCGAGTAAGGGTCTACCGAGTGCAAAGCTGTGAGAGATTTGAAAATCCACGTTTGAACGAAGGCGATCTGATTTTCCCTATTTGAAAATGAACAATCATTTGATTCAACATCAGGACTGGTGGCACTGTTTCCGATTGCGGCGCCTCGGCGAAGGATGTGGTTCGTTCGCGAAAAGACTCCGCAGCGCAAAGTCAAGATTAAGTACTGAGAATAGACCTTTCCCGGCCCTCCTACCCTGTCACAGAAGTTTGCCTGACGGTCCTTATGCATGAGTGGCCTGACGCTTGAGTGACCCGATATTTAAGTGCTTATTATTGGTACAGAATGTTTTGTCAGCCGCGAACGTCCACTGCCGGTAGAGGCCAATGAATAGACAAGTTATTATGTTCCAAACCGAAAAAAGGAGACTGCATAGCTCCAGTAAAGAATGTCCCACTTCTCATAGACATGCAAAACCCTTGGTCAGTGATGATGTCTATCTTCAGCCTCGGCGTATGTACTGTAAACCTTTTCTCACTTGAAAATTTTCCATGGCGGCTTGCCCGCCTCGTTATATGTACCTATCAGCTTGAGTTTACAGATGTCGGCTTAAAGCCGCAAACCGATCTCTCACGTTAGAAATGCTGGCTAACCCTAGTCCCTACTAGTCCCGCAACAAACAAGAAGTGGTATTTTTAGTGATCCTAGCTGTGATGCATTGATATTCCCGGCTTTCAATTCGGTCCCTTGACACTGATCCTGGCTCTTGATTTCCCCGTGTTGATCGGTTGCACCGCCCTTGTAACGTTTTGTGTCTTTTTTCCTTTTCGATGGTTGATCTGACAATGGTTTGAGCTTGCTCAAGAAGTGGAAACCCGTTGTCTTGTTTGCCGTAAGAGCACCCAAGATCCGAACAGGAACAGCGGCTCCTAACAAACCCGCCCTCTCCCTGGACTTCACGGCGGTGTCGCGCTAGGTTTTTCTCTGGGCCAATAGATTTGGAACAATGAGAACGAGGAAAAGCCCCATCAATTCCACAAACGAGGTTATGAAGGTACAAGACAGATATTGATTGATCCGGCAGCAAGCGTTGAGAGCAGACGTCGAATGAGGCCGGCTAATGGATGTTTGATGGCGCGTCCAACGATAGTCCACCTTCTTGTATATCGGACTCGGGCGTTGTATGGGATCTCTCCAGGGAATGACCGGACCCAGTTGATTCTGGTTGTAATGACGAGTCCATTATGGGAGTCAAGGATGTCCTGTTGTACAATGAACGTACCGGTTGAGTATCTAGAAATAGGCCTGTCGATTTGGACAGAAGCGGCTGCGCACTCGGCCCGTTATATAGTCCTTCCGAGCGGCCCTCCAGCAGACCTGGAGGGATGAGGAGTAACGGCTGTATAGCTGATGGGGGACGCCGGTGCAAAGATGCACTCTCCGTTCATGTTGCTGCAGTTCTTACACCTCTTTTCGCTCCCAGACTGAGGCCCGCCACAGCGAATCTACCTTCAAGTCAGAGAGGCTGCGTAAAAAAGGGATGAGGCGTCGAGCATTCCTCTAGAACAGACTCACCTTCCTCTTGCGACAGCGTTTGCAGGCAACTGACGTCCGCTTATCCCGAGCGATCGCTACAACGCTAGATAGAGTAAAGCATGGAGGATCGTCTGACACAGTTGACAGAACAGGGCTGGGGTTGAGCCTGAAGACCTCTTGAGTAGGCTGTGCTGAGAGGCCACTAGGGCCCGGAATCAGGTATGGAGAAGGGTGTTGGAATGCAGAGCTAGACGTAAGTGGAAGCTCCGAGCCATCATTGGCTTGGGCGTCCCCAATAGCATCTTCCTCTGGACTGACTCTAAGACCACGTTCGACATGATCACCATAATCCTGAGATAAGGGATCTCTCTGACGCGGTAACCGGTTGTGTCGTTCTGCATTCCGAGCCTCTGGTTCATCGTCGAGGATCACCGCTAAACTGTAGCTGCGACGGGGGCAGGCCACTAGAGGCCACAGAGAATGGGTTTGCAGTCCGCCGTCGTCGATTTGGCTTTTTTCACTATTGTCATCTGGGAAAGGCCTGGAGTAGTTCTCCTCTGGGCCAGGATGTACAGTAGCCGAAATGAAGCCTTCCGACACGTTGGTGCAACGGGGTTGAGGTTGCGAGCACAGAGATGGATCGGATAGTCGGTCCCAAGGAGGACCAATCTTTCCTTTTTTGCTCGACGGTTGGTCATAGGCGTTGTCTCGGGGGTCCGATACGCCATTTACACGTTGACGTTGGGCACGTGGAGAACGCGACCCGTCCGACTCATCTAGCTCGGGTCGCTTTCGCTTCGAGTGATGAATTGTTGAGTGTTCGCTGTAGTACAGTATCGGATGTTCGCTGGTACGCATGCTGGCGAAGGAAGTGCGTTTATCACCATCATGCTCCTCTTTCTGGTGCACCTGGTTCAAAGTACCGTAGCGGGGATCATTAGTGAAGTCTTCTGTATCGCCTGAAGAAGCTCGGGTATGGGAGAATTGGTTGTCATGGTCATGAAAACCGGAGGCCTTTTCTGATTCTGATGGCATCGTGAAAGGGCAGGTACAAAAAGATCTAGTGGTGACCAAAGTGGTGATGGGCGCGAGAGAGGCTGACGAGGAAAGGAATGAGGAGAGGGTATGGTAAGGAGAGGATATGGACGAGGGGATGGACGAGGGGATGGACGAGGGGATGGACGAGGGGATGGACGAGTGGAGTATGAACAGAGGGTACAGTAACGAGAGGGCATGAACGAGAGGAGCATGGATAGAGTGACTGGTCAAGGGAGGCAATGCCCTTTCTTGGGTACACTGGCTTTATACCCACCAGCCACTCACGTGCACTCTTGTCAGGCGTGGAACATGTGCCCAAATCAGACCTTAACCTCTGAAGTCGGTCTTACGAGCCCCCGTACCACAGACTTGCAACGGAATAGCTTACTCATCTGATGGGCCTTGCTTGATGCTTCTTGCCTACAAACTCCCGAGCCACTTGCCTGATGTTGTGACGATCGTTTCATATCAGCCATGCCTACTCTTCTCTGGCCGGATGACACGAACTCCCATAGTGATACGGTTCACAAGATCGTCTCGCTCGGCTTGACTTTGCATCAAGACCGGCTGGGAGGTTCCGAGACCGGCGAGACGGGTGTTTCTAGGTACCACAGTCCCGTTGGAATCGCATGCCTTTCAGACGAGAAGAGTGACAACGGGCCCGACCATTCATTGCGCATGTAAATGAATGTCGTCTTCATGTCGGCTCCTTCCTCTTCGATGTTTCAGCCCTTAGTTTTGTCATGTCGTTCTTGGTGCTGTTCAACCTGAAAAGCATACGCAAGTGTGATGATGAAGACTCATCGGCTACAGACAGCCCGGCTGGCTTCTGTGCGTGTTCGCTATATGCTTCGCAAGGTCTCCCCCTGTTGTGACTTGATTGACGCGATCCCAAATCTATCGCAACCCCCACAGCTGTACTGCAGGCAACGAGGGTGGAAGACGCATCACAGATTGGTGATTCAAGCTCCTTGTGCCATTTCATTATTGGTTCGATCGTGCCAGTTTACTTTACTCAAGTCAAGGCTGACGTAGAGTGGCCCGGACAGGGGCAGCCCGACAGGCTCTGCCGCCATCAGTTGACAGCGATGCAAGGGACGCACCATTCAACCCTCATGCTCATGATAAGGCAGATCAGGACGCAGACAGCGCCGCTCTGCCGGCTGCCAGAAGAAGGTTGCAGCCCCTTGTTCAAAGTTTGGTGAAGAGCGAAGACAGCCATGTCTGCTCACCCTACATAGGGCCTAGGCGCCGACCAGGCGCCCAAATCCTTGGCACGGCCAGGCGGCAACGCCAGCTAGATCTCGCTTCTCGCTTCCAGACTCCTGGCCGCAGCCATAGACATAAATCACCTGGCCCATCCACATTCGCCTTCGCATCAGCCAGCAATCGTCAATGCAGTCGTGATGGCTGTTGCACCTGGCAAACTGGGCCTTCGGTGCCCGAACCAAGGTCAATTTTACATTTGCGAAGCTAATTCCACGGAATTCATCGGCTGCTGCCTTTCCGACCCCTGCGCCAATGGATCCGGCCAGTGCCCACATGACAAGCTCGCCCCATCAACCTTCTCAGCCAATCAGTACGCTGCCGTTCCGGGCCAGGATTGTGAAGATGCAAGAGGCGTGTCTGTCTGGTGGACATGTCGCGATACCAGTCCGCCATTTTTAGGATGCTGCGCGAGCGATCCATGTGTCCACGGCTGCACGCGACGTGATCTACTCCCGGCCAAGTTGCATAGCAATAAAACGCACCGCCAACCATTTCTGTCCAGCGATGCACCGTTGAGCTTACCATCGTTTCTGCCTTCGATAACGTCTTCGGCGGGGCACTACACAACAACTTCGATTCGACCATCCAGTCCGTCTGAGGAGGCACCTTCATCAGAGCCAAATGCCGGGCACGTGCCTGCCTCGCATGTATCAACCAAGGTCTTGATCGGGGCTTCTGTCGGTAGCGCTATGCTGGTAGCAATTTGCGCTCTAATTGCATGGCAGTGTGTAAGGCACGCCCTGCGGGCGAAACTTTTAGCTGCTGTGGAACTTCCTATCCACGTTGTAGGCAGCGGAGCACCGTCCTGGCCCAAGGACGCAGTGGAACTATCGGCAGAGCCTGCTACGGCAGTCTCCCGTTAGCTAAACGTCAGTCAAAGGACGCCCAGGCGCCAGCGAGATCTCAGCTACTGAAGTTGCTGGTGGTTTTTTCCTTGTTACGCTCGTGCCCAGCGTCGCTGGTACACGATGATGGAAACTGATGAAATCGTTCGTATATAAAGCTTTGTGCAGCAATAGTTAAAATCTATTTCGCACTTGAAAGCGTGTGCATACATACAAGCAGTCGTGCCTTCATGCCTTCCACCGCGTTGCGCAGCCGCCGGAGAACGTGCTCGTACTGACAGACTGGCGCAGCCTTAACCCGGTGCGGGGGAATCCTGCTCTCAGCACACCGAGATCATTCAAATCGAACATCTGATCCGCGACGAGGCACTGGAACTCACTTGCCAAAAGTCGAAATAGAATTGCCGCGCAGGTCCGGTAGGTCACCACAGTACAGTATGGTGTCGTCCTCCACAGAGGTTCAATGTAACATGGCCTTCTAGGAGGTGGATCATCATCACCAAACCTTCAGAGTGCTTAAGATGATTGCTCCCATACTTGCTCCCATACTTGCTCCCGTACTTGCTCCCATACTTGCTCCCGTACTTGCACACATATTTGCATTCATAGTTGCACCGGTCATTGCTCCGATCGCTGTAGCACCATCCCTAACCACCAGCGACAGAAGCCATGTCTAAATCGCAGCCCTGGCTGAGTTTGGCTTCGGGCGCTCCTGGGCTGGGAGGCCCTTACCTTATAGAAACACTGGCAGCATATGAAGAGCTGGATGCAATAGGACATGAAAAGCCGCGAATTCTGATGGCGATTGGACAAGCAACCAAGCGGAAGGTTCTTACTGAGTCTTTTCCCAGGCTCTCCGGTCAGGGACGATCTGGCGCAGTCACTCTCAGCACCCTTGGGCCGCCACTGACATTTCTGATCGACTGCGAGCTTCACGTCTCTCGAGACGCTCCGCGCATCCAGGGAGGGCCGAGCAAGGGAGACTATGCGAGGCATGAGATGAGATGCGCTGCAAATAGTCAGAAGGAGGTTGCCTACTCCCTCTATCACCAACTACTCGCGCCATTCAGTGCTGTCGTCCTTGTCTTCGTGGAGGATTTCAGGAACGCCTCCGAAGTCACAGACCTTCTCATCGACTGGCTTCGCTCAGCCATGGAAAAACGACCCCCATATAGTCCCAGAATTGTCCTGGTGACTGAGACAGGCGCAACCCTTGATCTGAAAGACTTTTTGTCACGCTTGGTGGCTAGAACTCTGTCCTTACTCCGCCTCAGCGATTCCTTGCGAGCGTACACAGCTGCCGAGATTCGTGCCAGGATAAAATCATTTATTGACCTCGAAACTATGGAAGCACAGGCAGGGGCTACGTTTGCGAGATCGTTGTCGTCCCTTGCCTTGCGTGCCTGCCGTGACCGGCATCAGTCACATGTACATTTCTCCGCACTGCACTGGAAAACACTCTTCAGAAACGCCATGGTCCAATTCGCCGAGTCTCCGTCTCTCCCTCTCTCGCTGTGTCAACTCGCCAGGCGAGCCAATCCGTTGCCAGATGGCCTATCCGCACAGCTAACCCGCTTCTTGCGAGCGACGGCGCTGGAAGGCATGGAACACGCCGAGATACTGGCATCCGCGCTAGCTATGAATGCTTATCCTCCAGGAATGCATGGTACGTTTACGCTTCGTGACGCTCCGTGAAGCTTCGTGATGCTACGTCATGCACAGGCTGGTTCTGATGAGTCATTAGGCTTCCCACCTGCCATGGTCTATTCAGAACTGTATGAAGACGAAGTACGCCGTGCCGTGTCGGATTTCAAACCAGCGCGATGCGATCTTGCGCCGCAAATCCAGGAAGGATTTGTCAACCTTGCGAGCCACAACTTGAAAATATCGGGTGCCTTCGCTGCCGCGCATAAGGCTGTGTTAAGACGTGGACGGGCATCGTGGTTGTCTGTCAAGCCCCACGACATATGTTTAGTCTGCGCGGTACACTCTCCGACGAAGACACTGGACTGTAGACATCGGCTTTGTGATGCATGCACGGTGATCTGCGGCACGCTTGAGGGTCAAGGGACGACGACCGTCCCTCATTGCCCACTCTGTGGGCAACCCAACGCTGCTTCCTTCAAGAGGCGCCCTCCGACAGCAGGCACACGCGTCCTCGATCTGGGCGGTGCAGAGGCTGCAAAGACCATGGAGTTTCTCAGATCAATTCATCGCTCGATCAGTTTGGCAGGCACCTCCTTGTCTGACAGTTTCGATGTGGTTTTGGCCTCAAACGTCGGTACGTTCTCCTGTGTGCGTTCTTCCGCTCGCGATCTCATTGTTGTAGGGATCTTCTTCGCGCTCGCCCTCTTTCTTGAGAAGTGGACACTTGAGGACTGCAAACACCACCTGCGTCGACTTGTCCGCCCGAAACAGTCATGGATTAGATCGTGGAACGGGACCATCAACTTCGGAAAAGCATTGAAGTGGGAACTGCGAGACGTTCGGTCGGTAAACCAGCCTGCTCTCGTCATACACACCAAGAGAAAGCTGCTGTCAAATGCGATGGCGCAGTCTGAGGCCGACAGCACGTGAGTCCTGCGATTGATACCAGGCTGGCCAAGCACTGACCATACGCTAGATCTCTGGTCGAACTCCAGCGTCAGTATGCGCGGAGATGTGATTGCTTGGTCCAATACAACGGTGGCCCTATCAGCCGAGTGCTTGTGAAGCAAATGACCAATCAGCTGATCTCGAGCCTATTCTATGTAGAGTTGGCAGCCACTCCCACCTTCTATCGATCGCCGCACGCCTGTGAGCTGGCCCTGCGTTGCCGTCTCGCCCCCGGCGCCGCGCTCTTTGGCCTCCTACTGAGGTTGTGTCGGGGCGAGGCGCACTTCCTCTATCGCGGCGATGAGCTGGAGTACAAGAGGATCAGAGTTTGCGAGGAGAAGGACTTGAAGGCATACCAGAACTGGGCTTCTTATGAACGTTCACTCCAAGTGCAGGCTGTATCTCCAGCATGCAAAATTGACATCCAAATCGACGGTGACGGCATCGACAAAGGCCAGCACAACACCAGTCACTACATCAGTAACTGCCCGTACCGGCTCGAAGACCTGATACGTGATCAAGGTCTGCATCGCTGCTTTGGCTCGCCTGATCACCGTCCCGTCTCAGGAAGACCAGCGATGTCGACACAGGCCCGGCTTGGCCCCCACTCCGCCGCACCAGTGGATATGGAGGAGAGCAGCATACTGCAACAGCTCAACGCGCTTCAATGCACCTTTGGGCAAGTGATGCAGTCGCAGCAGCGATTCCAGGATGGATTGACGACAGAGAGTTGACCAGGAAGGAGTGAGCAAAAGTGGCACTACTCGCTACGTCTTGGTGGGAAATGCTTGGTATGTAGTCCGACTGCAAGTGGCAAGAGCTCGGGCAATGGGAGGAGACTTGTCGTGAACAAGGGTGTGGACAAGAGAGGGGGCTTGGGTTGTAGCTTCCTGTTACAGAGCCCTTGCATGGACCTGAGGCGCTCTGAACAGGGCAGAGACGAGCCACCACTGTACGTTGAGGGCCATGGCCATTCTTGAGAATGGTGTAGCGCAGAGGGAGTGATCGACTACGTCGCTAGTTTCTGTCTGCTAGCCTATGTTTAGGTGTTTTTGCTGGCTTACCAGCTTCTGCAGCCTTCAGGACAGTAGATTATCTCAGACGATGGACATGCATGCACAACGTGGGACTGGGCAGTGTTTCCCTAAATTAGTCGGACAGCACACCAGGAACGAATGTACGAATGTACGAGTATAGAGAGAATTCCTCCAGAGAATTGACGAAACTGGCTAGACCAATTGCTCGCGGCCGATGCGTAAAAGTTGGTCGGGTCAGTTGCCACGCTGGAGTCAGCAGCCCGGGCACATGATGGTGGGTCGGGTCACCTGCTTGGTCATTGGAGCGGCTCGGCTGGCCTCCTACATCGCTGATTCTGGAGAGTCGCAATCCGTCCAGAACCGTATAATATCGGTTTCGAATGGTGACACTGCAATGCGAAAGACACCTTATCGAATTCCACATTCGACCGATGTTGTGGCAATCCAACGACCGCGCCATCCTTGGCACGGCCCGGCGCCAACGCCAGCCAGATGGCGCCGCTCGTTTTCCAAGCCATCAGCCTCCTGAACGGACCCACACACACCCAGACGCCGAAGCTGGGATCTGACCAAGCTGCACAGCGTACTTATTTCACCTTACGCCCCGTACCGGGTGTAAGAATTGCGCTTACAACACCCACAGGAAAGCTCCAAAACCGTGGAAAGTTGACTGCCGGCCGATCAAAAGGTTGTACATCGCTTCAGGGATTCAGGAATCCGCTGGCCCTGCACAACAGCAGGGTGGGTCTCCGAGCAACGACTCAACTGGTATACATAGTACTTGTCAACACCTTACGCCCCGTACCGTCTCTAAGTTGACGCTGCTGAAAAGCTTATGTTTGGGGGGGTGATCTGCTATCGTAGTTGGTCCAAGTACCTGATTTTTGACAGGCGCAAGTACTACGGCGACTGGGGCTGCAAGTTCATCCAGACGAGGCGGGGTTCGAAGTCGGTGCGCGTCGCCCGTGTCGGCCTCGGGTTGCAACGTCAAGCTGTCTCGACATCCAAATCGACCTTTTGAATTCCGGCACACACTCCCAAGAGTCCTGATTTAATGCCCTTGTCAAGACAAGCGGACGCATACAACACGCACTGCGTCCTTCCCCGGAGTCCCCTTGAAGCCGTATGTCCTTGCCCTCTGCCCCTGATCATTCGCCATCTTGCGTGTGCTCGAAGGAAACAGCATTATGAGTATGTACATTTGAGCCTAAACCTAATGAGCGCTGGATTCTTTATAATTTCGAGTCCGAAAAGCCGTCAGCCGTCAGACTTTCCCATGGTCCACGGTCCACGTGCACTTGCCTGCTAGTAAAAGAAGTCAGCACCCCCCATTACGCTATACAGGGTTCGTCCACCCTATTACGCATGTCCTCAGCGCGAATATCATGGCAGTACGACAAGACACCATCGCCATAACGCTCATGGCCGTTACACT